ACTTGTATTTCCAGTGAAAATTGCGAGGCCTACGTATTTCCCTCCGATTTGCACTGTTTTTTACAGGTGCGTATTTAGTGCAACCAAGTGTCCTATCCACTCTTTCTAATGAGGATCAACAATCACCCACTAGTGCTAACAGTTGGCGCACAATATGGCCGCAACCTTATAAAAACCCTGATGTAGCTTAGTCAATGAAAACTTTCTACCATAGAGGGTGCCCCTACATCATTTAAGCAGTGGACTTTCACATGGAAGCCATTTGGTTTAATCTATTCAATATGGTTGGCTTGTGAACAAGGCCAGTTGAAGTTGCATTTTGACCAGCTCGTCCATGGCCTCCAGTTTCTGTGTTCTGCGCTGTTCACCCATTGGCCATTGTAAGTAACAGTAAGGTTGAAATATTTTCAATTAAAGAAATAGAAATCTAAAATCTGCTCATCTTGGAAATACTTCAAAATCTCCTTTTCACAAAATAGACCACAGAAGGAATACGCGCAATACAGTGCAGGTGACACATAAGAGTATGAGTTCAAAAGTGCCCCATCACATCTGATCTTTCCAAAATGGCTTTATGTGGACTTCATGTTTGGCTCTCCTTCCATTATTAGGTCTATATAATTGAGATCACTGAGAGTACTACTAAATGAATTCCTTATATGGAGAATGGCACGCGTGCGGTGCATACTGAGTGACGCTGCGCACATCAGCCTGTGTTTAGCCGTTTGAGATTAGCCACGTGACACACTCTTGACCAATAAGAAGAGTGAAACTCTCTGAGGTGTTATTGAATAACATTTTTCTAAAAGCCACGGTCCAGCATTTGCCATATGTACATTAGGTTGGTCTGCGCTAATAAAATTCCCAAATATTAAACGAAGGGTGCTTTACAGCTGTGCAGTGTTGCGCACTGAACCGACAAATTACAGCAACCACGCTCACACGTGCATCGTTGCAACCCATTGCCTATTAAGTTAATTTCCAAAAATGCATCTTTACACATTGTTGTATAAGTCTTTTGTGTTTAATTCCTTCAAAATGACAGCCTTCCTCAAGGAACTGTTTTACAAAAAAGCTTAGTCCTCTCACTATGTTTAAACCAAGTTTGCTTTTCGTCAATAGTTTCGTTACTTCATTTAGGGAAGGCTGCAACTGTGGGACTGTGTCTTTTCAACATCACACATCACTGACCTGCATTGTCTTTTGAAAATATTTCAGGAAAATTGACTGTAGCTTGTGCTTACTTGACAGATTGTCCAGTTGCAAGTTGAGGACAGCCGTACAGAATTATCTTATCCACACTCCTGTCTCGTGATTCAGGCTTGAAACCAACTGTATAAAAAAGAAAAATGGACTTCTGTTTCAATTTATTTTTAATGGCCAATGTTCCCCTCATGGTGCCACAAACACCTGAGATTCAATTCGCCTCTTGGGTTGCATAACAAGTACCCCTTTGGACCAGGCCAAGTGGATATGTTTCTACTGAGGCTAAAATAGATTTTTGAGAAGCATTATGGGAAATCTGTGTGTGATGCAGGTGTTAAAATTACTGAAAAAGAAATCTATATTATGGAAATGACTATTGCTAAAATCTTGGCCTGTCGGCCACAATGAGGAACTCTAGTGTCAAGGTGTTCCGTGCCAGCGCCTCATGGTGTGGTGTGATATCCAGCTCTCCCTTTCGAAATCTCATCTGGCATTCGGGATGCATTTAAAAAGTTGTATATATTATTCTCCATGCTTCCCACTACAAGAAATTTGTCATGTGTTAACGAAAAATAATACCCACCTATGTGGATTTCACCATCGTCTTCCGAGATGTGTTTGTTTAAACATGAGACTTTTCTGCCCTCTGGAGCAACACCCTGGTAAAGAGGCATGAATACAGATAAAAAATACATCAAATGACTGTTTATCCGCCGAGCAATAGCTGTTTCTTTGTTTCACTTTGTCGTGAAGGTGAAAAAATCAAAGATTTAACTTCACTTGACCTGTTTGTGAACAAACAAGGGCTATTTCGGCATTTTTTTTAATGACTGGTTCTCACATAAGCTCTACTTTGGATTACAAAGGCCTTGTATACCAAAATACTGGTTTTATTACAAGATGTGTTAAAAAGAATGTTAAAATATGCAGAATTTGAATATTCATATGGAATCGCATGAGGATTACCATTACGTTGCGTACCTTCTACAACACATTGCGGTCTGTGCACATACCATGTGTCAACCCAGTGGTTTGAACCATGAAGGACTTGTACTTTCGGATATATAGAGCTCTGAATTGTACAAATAGGATGCCCTTACATGAGTGCCATTGACGTCATCATGACATAACTTTCATTTCCATCTATAACACATGGCTATGCACACACAAGTTTCGACCCAATAAGACTTGTACTTTCGGATGTATATAGAGCTGTGAATATTGCACATATAGGCTGCCCTCCATGACCATAAACAAAGTCATCACAATGTTACCTACATGTACATTTTCATTTAATCCACATTCCTCTCTATGCACAAACCATGTTTCAACCAACGAGACTTGTACTTTCAGATACACAGCGCGGTGAGCATTGTACAGTATACATAGGACGCACCCACACAACCGCTGATGATGTCAGCATTGCTTTGCCTACATTTTGATCTATAACACATGGTTGTCTATAAACATACCACGTTTCAATCTAATCTGACTTGTAGGTCTCAAGATGGCATCAATGAGGTCGCATATATTTTCATCCACAACACATGGCTGTGTATACACAAAACCAATGTACAAACATGTACAAACCCTATAGAACGGGAGTCTGAAAAAGGAGAAAAGGCCACATAAAAAAATAATTAGTTTAGCATCAGCGCCCGCCTCAAAAAATCTTGCCGCATTTTTTTTTTCTTCAAAAGTTGTCCGAGCTTTTCTGATGTCCCTAGCTGTCCCCCGTAGTTTCTTACAACGCCCACTAACCTTGTGCACGCACAACATGCAACCTGAGTACATATACCAAAGATCGTATAGCACCGCGTCTTTGGTACATACAATGTCATGTGCACTTCTGTGCACGAGTCTGAAGTGAACGTGGCGCTTTCGTTCCGTGGTTGCGGCAGTCCATGCATACAAAAGTACATGTATTAAAAAAAGACAACTGATGCTTACTATCTTTTTTTAAGTGGCCTAAAAGATAGATCCGTAAACAAGGCCCAACGAGCCCAACTCCTCCCTTGTATACTGGGCCTTGTTCCGAAGTAATAGGGATTTCTTTCGAAAAGTTTATACGGGATATCCCGGGGGCCATAACTAAACATCTGCTTGATTTTACGAGCTTAAATTTCACCGGTATGCTCATTACTTACAGTGTAAACTTTCTGCTAGGTTGCTAATTGTAGAAAACCCGCCTTTTCCTTGTTTGGAGGAAAAAGTAGCCTTTTTGCCATTTTCCCACTCCGGACGAATTTTTCCCCACTTGCACGAAACTGACGGCTGTTTTGTCACTTTCGTCACAGAGAGCGAGCCGCGCTACCAATGATTTGCCGAAAACAGTGTGTGACTGGACAGGGAACCAGCCAAGGGCATTGCGTATTAGCTGCGACACGAAAAAACCGTAATTTTCTACGAACACTGAGGTCCGACTTCGACATGTACTCTGGAGCGCAACTACTGCGTGACAAGGAAGGAGCTGCTGGCGGGGCGTGGTGGCTTATCTGAAGCACTTTCGACCATATATTTATGGACAGAAAGTGACGATAAGGACCGACCATGCATCCCTGCGTTGGATCCTGAGTCTGAAGGATCCGGAGGGCCAGCTAGCACGCTTGTTAGAGGTCATTGCAGAATATGACTTTAAGGTTGTCCACAGACCCGGGTTAAATCATTCTAATGCGGACGGGCTGTCGCGGAAGCCCTGTCGACAGTGTGGTCGCGTGGAGGGTGAGGAAGGGAGTCAAAGCGATCGGGCTAGCAAGAGTCCGGAAATGCACCGAGGCCACTCTCTCAAGTAAGAGTGGTGGCAGGCCAACCGTGAGGTACGGCGGATAGAATCTGGGAAGCGCAGCTGAAGGACAAATCAATGGGGTGGTTGGTGCTGGCAAGGGAGGAGTCAGACGTGCGGCCCGATTGGCGTAAAGTGACTCCTGCTACGCTAGCGGCAAAGACCTACTGGTTGTCCTGGGCGCGGATCGCCCTGCGCGATGGGGTGCTGCACCGGCGCTGGGAACCAGAATCTGGGGAGGAAGATAGGTGGCAAATGCTCCTCCCCAAGAGCTGCGACCAACTGTAATGGACGAGTTGCATGGTGGGGTGACTGGAGGCCACCTTGGTCACCGGAAAACGCTGGGAAAAGTGAAGCAGCGGTATTATTTGGTAGGGATGGATGCGGACGTGCGCTCATGGGTCCGGAAATGCGACACATGTGCACGTCAGAAACCTCCCCCAGGAGCCCGCGGGCCGCATTGCAACAACGATTAGTTGGTGAACCGATGGGTAGGGTTGCACATGACTTGATTGGCCCCCTGCCAAGAACCGCAGATGGAAATCAGTGGATTTTGGTAGTTGGTGATTATTTCACCGTGTGTGTGGAGGCCTACCCGATACTCGATGCCACAGCAGAAACAGTTGCCAGTAAGATGGTGGAGGAGTACTTTTGCAGGTTTGGGATTCCAGCAGAGTTGCATCAGATCAGGGTCGGAACTTTTAGGCTCGTGTGCCAAAGTGTGCGAAATTCTGGGGACACACAAGACACGCACCACCCCCTATAACCCTAAGTCGGATGGTTTCGTAGAGTGTTTCAATCGCATACTCCTCACCATGGTTGCAGTTATGATAGACCCAAACAAGAAGCAAAGAGATTGGGATAAACAGCTTCCCTATGCAATGTTCGCATATAGGTGTACACCCCCCGAATCCACCAGAGAAACCCCACATATGCTAATGTTGGGAAGGGAGGTCTCAGTCCCACTAGACCTAGTAATGGGAACACTTCCTGTAGAGGGAGAGGGGGTCTCTGAAGATTATCGAGAGGTGTTAAGGCAGCGCATGCAAAATGCCTACATGATGGCACAGGTGCACCTAAAAAGGAGTGCACGTTGTCAGAAACGCAACTATGACAAGGGGATAGCAGGGAAACAGATATCGAAGGGGCAGTTTGTATGGCTGTTCAATCCTGCAAAGAAAAAAGGAATATCCCCGAAGTTGCAATGCCGATGGGAAGGTCCCTACTTGGTAGTAGGGCAACTGTCTGATGTAACCTACCGAATCCAACGTCAATCTCGTGGCAAAGGTAAGATGGTCCATTATGACAGACTGAAACGTTATGAGGGGGACTCTATTGAAGGATGGCAGTACAAGGTCCCACCCAAGGGTCCAAACCTGGAACCCGAGGTGGAAGTCCCACTGGAGAGGGATCTGGTTGGTGATGATGGGAATTCAAGGGGTTGGGAAAATGAGACAAGTGTCACAGTTGGGCCCCAAGTTCACATTGAGGAGACCACCGCACTGGAGGTGGATGATGTGTCATCATGGCAGACGAATGCCGGGATGGCCGTCAATGGCCGTCGCAATCCAACCAGGCGGCGAAAGAAACCCGCCCGGTTTAGGGACTAGTCCTCATAGGAAGGGCATTCCCGGGGGCTTAGCCCGTTGATTGAGTTGTAACGTATGTTATTTTGTCTTGTAACTGGATGGATGGTGGAAGCCAACAGGCGGAACGCCGGGCTGAGGTGCTGGAATTGTGCCAAAATCTTAAGCAGGCGCAAGAGCCTTGGGCGGCATCTACAGGTGGTCCACAATCCGGAGGGCCTGGCATGGTACTGTAGAAGGTGCCCGTATACTTCTGCCCGGCGAGACAATTTTCGCCGATACTATGGGAAGGAACGCCCAGAATGGGAGCATGGTGTCAACTTCATCATCCGTGAACCCAGAGATCCAATCGGCCGGAGAAAGTACCAACGGGCGTCGTTCTTCCTGGCGGCGCAGGGGCAGAAGGAAAGGGCTCCGCCTGTACCAACCACGGAGCCATCCAAGTCTAATGGAGGACCACCAGCAGACGACATCAGTGGAACCTCGGGACGGCAGACACTCCCAAGCCCCTAGCTCAAGTGACCCACTGCGGCAGGGTCACAGCCCAGTACGGAGAGGGGGGGAAACCGCCGTACCTCCGGCAGATGCGAGAACGTGCGGAAAGCATCGACAGCCATGACAGCATGCCAGACCTGGAGGTGGATCCAGACGCCCTGAGCCTGCACGGCGGGGGCTTCGTCAACGATGACCCTGATCAGACTGGAGAAGACACTGGGAGGCAGCCAGAGACAGATGATGCCCAAGGGTCTCCCACGACTGTGGCGGAGAACAATACCAGGACCTTGGAACTGTCACGCATAGATAGGGCCCTGATGGGCACCGTTGCAAAAGTAGTGGAGGAGAGGGTGAGCCTCTCTTATTCCGATGGGGCGTTGGCTCACGAGGAGAGTCACCCGCACGTATAATGTCCCTTTTCAAGCAGAGTTCGAGAATGGGAAAGTGACACTATTGTAAATACAGTTTTTCTTGACTGTTTACATTAGTTGGTTCTGTTTAGTGGAATCTTGCATTGCATTTAGTAGAGTAGCTTACCAGACCTTTGCTGGGAAGAGGATTTCGGTTGATTGGGCCGAGACGGACCAAACCTAGAGGGATGCTGTGTAACGCGAATGTCTGGTGACCTTTTAAACTCCAGAGGAATGGCAGTGGGGTTGACCAGTAATGCGCTTAATTAGGTTTCGGGTTAGGTCCAGGAGTTTGGAAACCGGGGACCGTCAAGTATGTCCAGTCAGGGGTATGGAACAAAGGGGGTATTGGTGTAACTGTCAGGGGATTTGACAAGGTCCTTTTA